AGAGCTGTTGATGAATGTAAAAATAATAGTAAAACAGTGTGGCAAACACTGAAGCAAATATTGAATAATAAAAACATCAATTTCGACTTTAACTAGTTAAAACTAGGTACAGAAATTGTCTAGGAAGAATTGAATTAGTTTCATTTTGATAGTATAAAGGAAATTTCTGAAAGCATACCTGATTCGACAAATTTTGAGGAAATTAAAGTTAATGTAAATTCTAGTATTAACACTTTTCATGCCGTTTCTCTCAATAAAGAAGATAGTAAATGATTTGTAAAATCAATCAACGGGTGATGATGTGCGGACATTGTCGTTATTGAAAAATCACTATTTCAGTGGTTGGAGTTGAGACCCATAAATTTACTCTTAGTAATTGAGAAAATAATCGAAATTTCAGTGCATGACCAATTAGTGGAATATCTGAATGAAAATAATTTGCTGTTTGCATGTCAATCTGGGTTCAGGCATAATCATTCTACTGAGTCAGCCTGCCAATTGATGTGCAATAAATGGAAAAAGGACATTGATGATGGCAAAATTGTCATCAGTGTATTTGTAGACCTGAAACGAGCGTTCGAAATTATAGATAGGACAAAATTGTTATTGAGGTGTTAGGCATACGGAATGGAAGGCACAGTACTCAAATGGCTAACAAGTCATCTAACAAAAAGGGTACAAAAAAACAAAACTTCATGGTTGTTATTCTGATGAAATAAGTAGTATCTACGGGGTTCCCCAAGGAAGTGTCCTTGGACCACTATTGTTTATACTATATATAAATGACCTACATCTCTACCTACAGAATTCATCCATTCATCTATTCGCTGATGACACTTTGATTTCTATATCTGGAGAAAATAACAGCAATATGGTTGAATCCATGAACCATGAATAACGAGTTACATATTTTGAATAGTTGGTTCAGGGCGAATGAACTTGAAATAAATGCTCAAAAACAAAGTGTATGATATGAGGTAGCAAAATCAACTGTACTTAATTAAATCAAGGAAATTTGGTGCTTACAATTGATAATTCGGTAATAATGTATGTTAATGAGATGAAGTATCTCGGCATTCCTTTTGACCCTCGACTCAACTTTTCAGCGCATATTGATTTTTTGTGTAAAAAAATAGGAAAAAAAGTCGGGCACTTGTATAGAATCTGTACAAGCCTTTCCCCGTGATGTAGGAAGATTGTTCAAAACACTATTATATTCTCACATTTCAATTTCTGTATATCCATACTCATTTCCCGTTCTTCTACAGAAATACATCGATTGCAGCTACTCCAGAATAAAGCAATGCGAATTCTGCTTCGTTGTAGCAGTAAATGATATGCTGAAGACCTTGAAATTTCTCAATATTGCCCAACTGATTGTAGAGGTCTTTGGTATCAATTTTCAAAATTGTCAATGGGCAAGCTCCTTCCTACTTGCAATAGTATATTACACACCGAGGTGGGAAGTGATTCATTCCTGTTCAACAACAAATTCTATAAACAAACTTTTGGCACCCCGATGGGTGCATCAATTTCACCAATTCTCGCTGCCTATGTAATGGATGACCTGTTAGACACAGTAATCCCAGTGTTATCATTTGATCTTTTTTTCATAAAAAAATATGTGGACGACATCATCCTTTCACTTCCTGAAGATGGTATAGAAGAAATTCTGTTTACCTTTAATAGCTATGATCCAGCAATTCAATTCACCATTGAAACTGAAGATACGGACAGAGCTGTCCCATTCCTTGATACCAGACTAGTGAGATCGAGGGACAATATAGTCCTAATCGATTGGTATCGCAAATCTTGCAGTTCAGGCAGATTTCTCAACTACAACTCGTTCCACCAACAGAACATGAAGGTGAATTTGTTAAAACAAATGAAGAACAGGATAATCAGAATTTCTGATACATCATTTCACAGGGAGAATTTAAATATTTTACAATCTTTATTCATAGAAAATTCATATCCACCACAATTAGTCAAAAAAATTCTACACAGTGCACCCATGACACAGACAGCTCCACCTGAAATCAACATTCAATTGCATGAGACTGTGGTTACTGATACTCCTCCAATACATACAATTTTTTCTTCACTTCCGTACATATCAGATTTAACTCCAAAACTCACAAGAATTTTTCTTCCAAATCCTAACCTAAAAATTGCCAATAAAACAGTTTTAACAATTAGATCAATTTACACCAAAGTCAAAGACAAAGTACCTCTTACTGCACAGACGAATGTGGTGTACAGCATCCCCTGTCAGGATTGTGATAAAATATACATCGGGCAATCAAAGAGATCATTAGCCAACAGAATCACATCCCACAGGAGCGACTGTAGGCTTCATCCAGAAAGATGTGCTTTGGCGGACCATGTTAATTCCTCTGATCACAAAATGGATTTTCAATCAGCAAGAATTTTAGCTACAGAAAGTAACCACAAAAAAAGAACTTTTTTGGAAATGTCTTTCATTGCCCAAGAACCAAATTGTATCAACAAAAGATCGGACATTAACCATCTTAGCGAAATTTATTCATATCTTTTATCAATTGATAACCCTAATACGGTGTTAAATAATAGCAACTCAACATAACCAACAATAAACAACTTTTTTAATAATCTTGATGTGATGCACATATTGCCTGCAAGAATATTACCCGTTTTACTAGTAGCTCAAAAACTTTCTCCTTCCAATACTCTTGTGACTAACACACAATAGCACTAGGTACCATAAGACCAAGGTCATCACACTTAAGCTCCATGTCACCAGTGAATTGGAAGAATAAGGTTCAGTTTTCCTAACCAAAGATTTTTATTCTGACACACGTTGTGAAAAAAAAAGTTTCATCATGATTTTAAATCAACAACGTTTTTGATATTGACCTAATATTTTAATTTTTTGAATTTGTCATGTTCCAGATATGTTATACAAACATTTTTTTTTATTTTTTTTATTTATTTATACATCACTTGTTAGTAACATCAATGTAACCAACCTCAATGAGTTGTAAGTACTGCACCACTTAGTCAACTAGCTTTGCTTATAATTGTTATAACATTTTGTAGTCTGGCCCTGATGATGGAAATATAACTTTCCGAAAGCTTGGACGAACTTGCATGAGTTTCACTTTTACTTGCTGCTTCCCCACTACTAAGTTTCATCTCTAACTTGTCAGCAACGACTTCCCTTCTCTATATATATATATATATAAATATATAATTTGAGGTTCAATGATCAGTTTCTTCATACAAGGTTTCAACACAAATGCTTTGGAAAAAACTCTCTTCATTGAAGGTTTGAGAAACCTCTTTTATATAGTTAAGACATGTTTATGTGTGATATATATCGAATGTGTAATATTCAAGTATGGTTATGTAACAGCTATCGATGCTAAATAAAGCTCTATTCGATTCTATTCTATTCTTCTGGAGGACTTCTGTAGAACTGCTGCCAAATCGACAAATTAATAGAATTATCCGTATAAAATAATTTTTTTCCCGTTTTGGCTCAGCTTATAACAAAAAATTGAAAATGAAAAGTGGACTGAATTTTATAACATCAGCACAATATACTCATAACGACGTAAGTTTCAGGAACTCCACTAATGATTATGAACTTATGATTTATCATGGGATATATTACAGAATTAATGAAAGGAATGGATGCAAGATGAACGTAGCAACGTAGTAGACAAGCAATAATCGTAGTAAGAAATAACCAACTGGGGCGATCCATCTTACAGTGGAGTGTAGACAATATAGGACAGGGCGAAAATTCATACAGTCTTCTCCATCAAAACTATACTTCAATGTAAGCAATTCATAGAAGATACATGTTTATGAGCTTCGAAGCTTATCACCATCAGCAATAAGTTACATAGGAGCACTAAAGAGAAAAACAAAGAATAATGTCAGACAAAAGCCTTCAACAACGACAGTTCTGAGAAACTCACCTGTTATGGAGGAAAAAAATTGTGTTCACATACTTAGGAACAAAAATGAAAAACTGTTACAACAATAATGAAAGGGGGGACCGAAAAATGCGGATCACCTCTGTTGAGGTACTATTAGATGAAACATCGCAATAAATAATCAGCAATCAAACTGGAATCGAAGTGAATTTCCTCACTCTGATTCATCCGCATTCTGCGGTTCCCTGTTTCATCAATGTTGTAACAATTCTTCAATTTTGTTTTTGAATACATGAATGAATTTCTCTCTCAATTGTTCAGGAACCTGTTTCAATATGTGGTTTTTCAGTACGATTCAGTTTTCTATCATTATGCGGTGGGTTTTCAGTTCCACTGGAAAAACCAATAATGAATATCAGAATTTTATATAGGTAGGTACCTATAACCTGTTTTTCTCATGTACTGCCCCATCACTTTCATTTTCACCGAAAACGACCCCAACTTGTGGATTTCAAATTAACCCTGTATATTTCCATTTCTTGAATTCAACGGACCATTCAAGAAACGGACACATAGTTTTGGGACTAAAAACATTTGAAACTCTCAAGTGGGGTATATCTTTCCGGTATAATCGACAGTAAAGAGGCAAATTGGAAATATTAAAAATTGGAATATTCTCTGATCCAACACCCCTGTCAAGTTATTACTCTGGAAACCTGGTAGCATGTCTGATAAATTTGTTGACTATAGAATGAAATAAGCATCTATCAAATCAAAGTAATAATTCATCAGCTTGGCAAGGTATTTCGTTTTTCTACGATCGTGCAGGAAGTTACATTGCAATACATGGTGCTGAATGTATATTACTATTTGCACTAGTGGAAGTGCAAAATATCATTGACTGCGCCTCGTGACAACAAGCCGAACAAATAATAGAACGATCAATATTTATTTATTTATAAAAATAATTTTTATCATTGAAATGAGATGAAATGACAAATGAAATTTATATTATATCATTATTAATTCTTGTCATTCAACATTTATTTCAGAGTTACACTTTGAATTTGAGTCTTATCATCCAAGATATAACTTTATATTGTTCATTTTGATACAATTCATCAAAAAAATCTACCTGATGAGCAATGACGAATAGCGGAAATCGATTTAACAAAATAATGATTATCACAAGAATATAAAATCGAGAATAATAACAAGAAAGATTTAACAAAAAATATGTAGAAAATGATCATGATTCATCAATATCAGATAAAATCGAAATCATCTATTTTTTTTATTCATTTACGCTACAGTTGCAATCACTTCTGGTGTCTTCTTCTGAATAAATGGATTTGTGATGAGCCGTGCTACGCTTTGAAGAACCGTTATAGGAATCTGAAAAAAAATCCATTAGATGATATTCAATTTGTTTCTGATGAGTAAAATGATTGTTGAGACGTAATAGAAATATAGACATTCCGAGCATAATAAGAGATTTTTATTGAGTATATTAAAACGCGATTTTGTCATTAACTACGGATACCTGGGTTATGGCATATATTTTTTCACAATTTCTAGTCATTGCATACACATTTCTGCTTCACTGCTTTATGCTACTTCAATTTTATGAATCCTGTAATATGATTATTACTTTTTCCAGGGCTTTCATCAGTTCTGCTCGGTAATGAAATGATGAATAAATTGCTGGTAGTTTTGTTACTTTCGTTTCGAAATATAAACAGAAATCAATTCAAATTTCTGGACCTCACAAAGAACGTTCTGTATTTTTGAAATTCCAAAATCTGCTCACATACTTGAAAAGTGCACAAAAAGCTGAGTCGAATGGTGTTTTTTCTATTCTCCCACATGCTATTTTACTAAAGAATTTCTGATCGAATAACAAAAATTATCATAAAACAACTTTTTTCCGAAATTTCGTACACAAGTCCTCCTCCTTCTGCCCAAGTGACTCACCTATCAGTGACTATAGTTAAATCCTGGTCCGGATTCACCACATTTTACTAGACTCCAAAAAGAAAATCCTGTATTGCCATATTTCGAGAATCCGCCTACATATTTGAAAAGTGCACAAGAATCTGGATCGAAAGGTATACTTCATATTTACCCTCAAACAATTTCATTTCCTTGGTTTTGGAAATTCGCGTAAACTGGGTATTCTTTTGGGGCCCAGAATGTGATCCATTCTCGTTCATTTGGACCTGAATTTCACTCGTGACTGATAGGTGAGTCGCTTGGGTAGAGGCAAAGGTCTTGTGTACTAAATTCCGAAATAATGTAATGGTTGATTCGTGATAATTCTTGTTATTCGATCAGGAAAACTCAAAATATTCCATTTTCACCTATAACCAAATAATGCATAAAACTTCAAAATCAAAATCTGGAATTCTTTAGTAAAATAACTTGAGGGAAAATGGAAAATACACCATTCTATTCAGCTTTTTGTGCACTCTTCAAATATGTAAGCGGATTTTGGAAAATACTGGAAGTTCTTTTAGGGGTCCAAAATATGATCGATTTTCGTTAATATGGGCCGTGATTGATAAATGAGTCGCTTGGGTAGAAGATGTAGGAATTGTGGACCAAATCCCTGATTGATATACTAGGTATGGTTCGTAAGAAAAAGATGTCCTCACGAAGAATTGAGCAAAATTGATAAAACACCCAATATCTATTGGATATAAAACTTGTGAGACCCTACAACTATGGAATTTTCAGAATCACCTTGAAGAGCTCTACCCATCGTTGAACAATTCTCTTTCCAAATGGGACACCCATAGTGAGACAATATGATGTAGGTGGTTCGACTGTTAAAATTATGAGAGAAATCATTCAACTTCCAACAATAATGATTTGAAGGAAGGTTTTGGAAAAATTCAACGCTATTGAAATAGTTTCATGCATCATCATCCATGCACTCGATATTGTGATGAATACGATGTTCCTAGTTGTAATACAAGGGGTTATTCAATTGATGGCTGAAAATGAAGAATATGTTTCCTCGGATCATTTAAGAAAGAAGAGTTTACATGAACATGTACTCAAAACCTTTTCCCTCTCGAGCTATAGAGTGTTGAAATTTCATCAGGAGAAAATTCGATTCTTTATCATTATTGCTTCACTCACGTTTTCATGAAATTTGACATGCACCTACATAGTACTAATAGGCATTTTCCGATGTAGGAGATTTTTCGATTTCTTCAACAGTGGCGTTCGTGTGGGATGTATCCTGGAGAATTTTTAGAAAAATATTCAATGCCCTAAATTGATCGGAGAATGGAAGTCAAATTTTGATTCTCCATTTATTTCGCGACAATTTGAATTCCTAATATTTTTTCGTTCGACAAACCGTTTTCGCGTAAAAAATGATAACCATTTTCATGCATTTTTAGCATACGAAATTATTTTCAACTAGTAGGTTAGTGCCTTATTTTGTATTTGAAATATTGACATTCTATCGATCACATTGCGGTCTCATTTTGACAAGTATCCACGTGACAGTGTTCTACATTGTGGACAAAGAGAAAGTTCAATTCAAACTTCTCATTGTTCGAAAATTAAGAGGTTTAGGGCATCTTGAGCTTTTCTTCTCGAAATGTGCTAAGGAACCATTATTCTATATTTTCAGCCATCCATCAGAATATACTCTTCAGTTATTCGCCTGATCTAGAAAAAATGCGAAAGTGTTCATTACTTCTGTTTGGATCTCTTGGAGCGCACGAATGGAAATTTCTATGATGTTCGAACAACATTATGCGTGCTTAATGATTATTTTGAAAGCTATGAATTCTTGGGAATACTTCTATTGGAAAAGAGTTCCGAAGCTCTGCTGTTCTAGACTATTCTAGAGGACAACAAAAAAGTAGGCGAACTGGTGAGAAGCTCTATCGCCAAATCATTCCCTGGACTGGAACATAGCATGAATGCACCTGATAGATTGTTTACTTGGAACAATAACCAATCAATACTAGAAACACGGGATAACAGGACTGCTATGACATGACTGTGCCCTGGATACATAACTGCACGAAATGGTAACATAATCGAAAAATAAATCGAGGTGATTTAAAATTGGTTGAATGTAGAATGATGACGTCGTTTAGTTCAGGTAGCGAGATATCATTATGATAACATTAGTTATTAATTCATGTATTTGTTAGTAATTGTGATCTAAATTATTATTTACTCAAGGTAGTCTACACTTTATGTTTGACCATTACGGCCAGGATAGCACCGGGAGCATTTTCCCAGAACAATGTTTGCTGCCAGACATGAAAATATAACTGCATCCATGGGAACGCTGAAATATGTTCCATATGTGTGGCAGTCGTAGAGGAACTATAATATTTCATTCGTCTCTAATGCCTGATACACCTTCGAATAATAATCTTCTTCTCATATTTGGAAAAACAATTATTAAAATGTAATCACTTGATTTCTAGTTGCTATTGTTCTTTTAGAATGGAGAAAAACTCCGTTGAACGCGGCAGCAGGTTGTTATTGCGGGATCCCTCTTTCATTATTATATTTTTATTGTTTTGTCAACACAGTGGAGTGTATCAACGGTATCTATAAATTACGAATGAGTATTCATTCATTACAGAACTATTTAGTCTTGTTTCCGTATTCAAGGCCAATCGCTGCAAGTCATTTGAACAGGTGAATTAGTAATGAATCTGCTCTGGAATGTCAGATTTTTCTCAGCAATATTATATCCACGACATCCACGTATGGAATTCTGGAATAGAAAATTAATTTTATAATCAAACGTTGTTTCTTATTCATGTAATTTTTTCATCTGCTTAGTTAGAAGAGAAAATATAGCTGTTAACGCAAATTCATGCGGCTGAGACATGTTCATATTACTTTTGATTTCCTTAACATATAGGCTGCCAATACGGTGTGTCTCAGCTAAAATTGTTCACCCCCATTTCTCCGAATTCGTTGAATGAATTGAAGATTGCTTGGGCTGTTTGAATCTAATTTGGCAGGGAAATCATTTTTTTGTATTCATCATATTATCCTTAAGTTGAAACCTTGACGCGAAACGGGCATCAACTCGTGATCACAATGAAAGTTTATGTTAAAAAAATTATCACACTTCACGCCACGATTGTATATGCATAGTATTTTATCGTGATACAAATAATATCAAAATAGGACTCCGAAAGAGCATAATGTTGAATTATTGTTAAAAAAAACCTTCACTTCATAACACGTTCACCTAATAATTTCGGAATTTTACACGAGGGCGGCGTATGCAACTTTATTTTGCAGTATAACTGAGTTGAAATTCTTCAAAGAACCAATTTGTATGCATTAACTTATCATTCGAAATAATAAATTCTCGATGCAAATTCAAATTTGAATGGTCTCACCGCTGCTGGCGAGCAAATTGGATAATTGTCTAGGATATGTTGAAAACTCATCAAAATCATTACTGGAAAGATGCATACTTTGAAAAAACGTTGCAGTAAATCTGTCATTATCGGCCAATCGATATGTAGAAGGAGTTTCCGTTTGTATCAATTATCAAGGATATTTTTATCAGAATAAAAAATTCTACTAAGGTTTATCAATTAATATACCATTTCAATTATCGCAGAATAATAATTTCCTTTATTTTGTGAATTCCCCTATTATTCAAGATATCTTTGATACCTGGAAATGCCGAACATATCAGCAAAAGAATACGCTTCTGCAGTTAGCTATGGAATATAAACGATTGTAAAGATTTTCTTCGTGGGAACTATCAAACACTGTTCTCCCTAATGACTTTTATGGTGATAGCACAAAAAAATGTCGATAACTTCAAGAATGGAAATGACATTCAGCTTCGTTCACTAAGTGCGCACTCTTGTACACATTCACTCCTATTCAATACATAAAATCATTATCTACTGTGATCAACAGTTCATCGACTATATTTGTTGATCCCAGGTTTTCGGCCATCAGTTTTCTGCTTTCAAAAATGATGACAGTTTCTATGACAAGATTCAGACAACTTTTCAATTTTACATTTCATTATATAATAGAAGGTATTCGTCTTGAATAAATTACCTGGAATATATCGTCGATCAACCTAGCGAACATGGATCCGGCTCTTGGAGGTTGAAATGGTGTGTTCAGCACTGGTGGAGGTGGAGGTACTGCATTATGAATAGGTGCGTTTGCCCCCGTGGTAATTCCTGATATTTCTATGGTCGAAACTGGTGCATTTGAAGCTCCTTGAATGGTCTGCTCTACTTTCTTTTCTTCTGATACAGAGTTGATAGCAAAATCGTTCACAGTTGCCTGAAAACGGTTATCTGTATGAATGTAATACACTCATTGGTAGAGAAAACCGCCCAGCAAAAAAAATAACGAAATTGATCACCCTGATACTTTTTTATTTCTTGTGCGATTATAAAGACATTTCTATCAAATCGTAGATCCATGTCTCGATGTATTTGCCAGGATTTCAATCCTTGAAAAAAGCTGATGGCTTGTTTATTATACAGAGGAAAACAAAAAATACTGTTTCACCCTTACTTCGCATTTATATAGCCTCTAGAAACTGCTTGAGAAAGCATACGACATTTCACCATTATAAGTCGAAAGTATAGTCTCCATTGATGAACAAGTATCATAACGCATCATGGTTCTGCGTTCATGTTTAACTTGATGAATGTAATAGAATATTATATGCAGTTGATATACCTTGTCCTGATAATATCCAAGTTTTCTATGATTTATGAAAGCTTCCTTTTCAATATTGTATGAATTAGCGTTCTTGTTCTGAACCTGAAAGTTCTATAATTTAGGGGCGAGTATAATATTTTTCTGTGAGGATCAATATTTTTGTTTGAGATATGTATTACACCGAGAGAAATATGTTTCAGCTATTATACGGAATTGAATAACCGTCAAGAAATTTTTGCATTGAATAGGCGCCAGCATAGTTTCTTTTTCACTGTGATCAAGTTCCACATTTCAAGAAAATCATGAAACTGTGAAACACAACTCTCATCTGAATGAAATGACGCTCATCTAGAAGTTGAACGACTTGTATTTCTATAGAATACGATGATATATCATGAAAATGAAATGATATTTATATCAGAATTACTTGTTTGCAATTCGATATTTGAATGTTCAAAATTTCGATATTAGATAGTGATATTACGACAATGGAATAATACTTATATCGATATAATTAGCTCTTAATTTGATAGTTGAATGTTGAATGATTGGCATTTCAGTAAAATTATATATTTCTCAGATGATTGTATTATATAACATGCAGAAGTTTATACATATAGAGAAATACATCGAGAATCATCATTCTCTATATCTCATGACGATATGATGGATTATTTCCGGTATATTCTACACAACACAACTATTTTTCTGGGTATATGTCAGAACTTCCATACCCAATGTTCAACCTTGAACGATAAGAGTTCGCATTCACATACCTCTAATCACAGAATCGTGATTGGGTTTTCATAATTCAGAATTTTCTTACGCTCTGCATGATGAACTTCAATTCATCGTACAATTGACAATATATTAATGACGATTGCAATGTGCTGCTTGTGGATTATTTTGGACATTCAGGAGCGAAATGAATTTGGGGAATCAGAAAGAAGGTCATTTGAATAAGCTGGTCAAAATCACAGATAAAATTCCGCAGACGAGTTGCATTCACTTTTTAATCGTAAAATCATATTATCTCTTCTCCAGAATGATATATTCCCATATGTGTGCAAGATCGAATGCATTTTGTGATGACTGGGAATTATGTGGCGTTTGTCAAACATGATCATGAAAAAATGATACTAATAAGTACTTATAGTAACTACTCACCTTATCCAGTAGATCATTACTAGCAGGATGTGCTTGGGATGAAAACTGGCCAATAAGGAAAACAGCAAAAGCTATCCGAAATATGTCTGAAATTCAGAAATTCATAGAATATAGATATTTTAGTTATTTTCCCCTGATTTAACGACCTATTGGTTCCTATATCTCCATCAAAAATGAACTCAGACAATAATAAGTTATTACTAAATCGCACAGCCATGCATGAGATCGAATCAAATATAGGCATTTCTTGTCTGAACATTATATAAACATGACTTTAGGATATTGAAGCACTTCATATTTCGCATGCGTGAGATCTGAGTGCGATTTGAATCCACAGTGGTTTCGTAAATCAATAAATACTCCCAATTTCAACAGAATAACTGTCTATTTCTGAGGAAACTCATGATATAGTTCGATCATGAATAAGGAGTTGCCATATTTGTAAGAAAAAAATGAATATATTGGGTTATCCACGTTTTAGTAATGACGTCCGCAACAATTTTTTTTTCAATCGAATACCTTATATTATTATATCATTACGTTTCTGAAATCCTCATGGAAAGGATGATTCAAGAATATTTCACACATAGGGTTTGTATACAGTGGTTCTGTCGAATCAAGAAGTGGATAGATATAATAACGTCAGTTTTTCTGTGACGGGAAAAAGTTTGTCATTTTATCTCTGTTGGCAGGTTTTAAAATGTAGTTCTTCATAAATTATATTTTTTCCGTGGCAAAAAAGATAGTAATTTTTTCCCGGATATATATCACATATATATACACTGTTGATGGCTTTTGTTGTGCTATAGTTCCGAAAAATAAGTCAATAATACCGTCTCCGAGAAAGAACTGCAAGTCCTTCTATCTTCCATTCGACTTCGCGGTTACATATATTACTAAACAACCAATTAATTCGCAATTTTTCGAAATCATATCACAGAATTAGACTGACAGAAGTGACATCAGATATTTGATTACATCAAAAGAATGATAAAGATGTCTACAATCGCAGGTGTCCTTACTGTTTAAAACTTGAAATTTCACGTCTATAATTTTCAGATTTCTAATTAATGTAATATCTTCTCAATATTGATTTTAGGTTTCTTCTGTCACAGAAAAAAGTAGTGTATTATACACAGGAAAAATATTAGATTTCAGCTCACGGTTTTTTGTCTCCCTCCACTACGTGACAACACAACCTGGAGCTAAAATCTACAACTTTTTTCCCTTGTTTAATGAATAACTATTATCTCATTTTCTTTCCACATATCCATCTAGTACTTATTATCAGAGCACTGAATTTCCAACACAGCACATGACATCAGATGGATGTCCGATTCACGTCCAGCTTCAGTCTGAAGGTCCATGTTTGCTAAATGGCCGTCCATTGTATATGTGCAATACACAGACGTACAGCTTTCTTCATAAAACATGTCGCACATAGACGATGATAGCATTCTTGATAACTACTGCAATAAGACGCTGACACCGTCCAACCGCGACATAACCTCTGAAGACGACTGTACACACAGTGGGTAATACACATTTGTACATCCATTATACGTATATGTGATGTTATTTATTATCATCAATAATCTTGATTAAACTATTTCGTTTTCATCCCAAATGGAAATGTAACCCTCACAAAAACGCATTTCATCTGAATCTCATCCGAACGTCCAATAATAAACAACCACCCAGGCAACCAGATGACGATTCAGTGACATCTTTTTACGTCAGTTGAATGACCAAGGTGACGTCAGAAGTTGACTCTCCAAACTGAGACGTTGAACTTACGTCGAAATGACGTCAGGATGACGTTCAAATTTGGTGATGATACGTAGAAAAGTTTACTCAAACATGGTGTGATGAACACCACTAACCTTTGATGACATATAATATTGATTATGCATTGTTGAGTCTGCTTAGTGGTCCCTCCGACGTCATGTAAATTCAAACGTTAATTCAGCAGCGCTATCCTTCAGTACGCATCTCCATCGAAATGAAATCAGTTACTCGTATTTGCATTAAGAATCAATTGGTTTGTGTCGGCGAGATGTAAGCAAACCAAAAATAGTTCCGTTCTATCATTGAGGGTATAAGATGAGTAAATAAACGTTTAACCATTGGTGCATATGAAATATAGACAACATCTGAACATATATCATAAGAGAGTGAGACTGATGCATGGTAGTAAATCTGGTTCAGATGGAGATGGAAGTGACGAGTAAGCTGCAGAGTGCCACTTGAATCGAAGAACTTCCATAGCATTGACAATGTATCATTTTTCATCTCGCTTTTTGTTGGAGCCCCATTTGATTTTTGTGTAATTCGTTTGAGCAGTGAAACACTGCAAATATGGAAATACCTTCTGAATCCAGTTTTTCATGAAATGCAATTTTTCCCTTTTTTCCATTATTTGCAGGGACCTTGTATCTGCTCCCTCTGAATTAGTTCAGATGTACAATGAATCGACATTGGACGTCCAGAAAATATCCACAGAGGTTGTTATTTGCATGTCTCCTAGACATCCATTCAACTGAATATGAACATGCAATGGACTCTCAATATACTTGGACTCGGAATGTACGTCCAGAGTGGTGTCCTGGACGTCCGATAAATTTACATTGGACTGTTTCTGGACATCCATTGGATGTTCAGAACATCTATATTCAATGTCAATTGTTTGAATCCTATGTGTGATATATTTCTGATTTCAGCTTGGAAAAACCTCCTTTGGCAAATAATTCCAAAGCTTTCCCGTTCCATTGATAAACAAGTTTTGGTGAAAAGTTGTTCGACATATTTCGAGGTTGACGACGAGGATATGCTGAGTGGGCTTAATATTCAGTTTTAAAATTTGGATAATTCTTTCATCAATCATTGAAAATCCTCTTTCTCAATATCTGTTGAACTTCGTTTCTTTTTTAATAGTAACATATGGAACTTCATCCTTCATCAGGTGTGATTTAATTTGAATTTATGATTCCTGTGGCTCCTTTGTGGGTTACTATATCTTAGTTCATTGTAAATATCATTAGACGAGTTTTATATTTTTATTATATTGAATTTTTGAAAATACAACATTCTAGTATTCTGTGGTAGTTTTGTATCCCCATTTATTGCTTAGGAAACCATGAAAGTTCCATATGACTCTAAATCTCAATTGAGGTGCTCTCTTCACACTCATTATTGATATTACCAAATAATCTCAAGTTGGAATACATGTTTATATGGACTTTAGTACCTGGAATATGACAAGAAATCAGCTCCTGATTTTTCTGCACCTATCAATTCACATCACACCCTCTACTTCAGTTTTTTCACTACTAGTACATATTTTCCAAATATAATAGTCTTTCTCATGAGGATGAGGGGATGTCAATAATTGTTCATATCATTCATCGATATCAGTGTACATTCTTTTATCAATCAGTGGCTCGATCAGTGGTGAATAAACCTCCTTATAGCGATAAAATATGAAGTGCTCCAATATCTTGAAATCAAGTTCATATCATGTTAGATCAATATTTGTGAAAGCTGCATGTTTTTATGACAAGATGCACAATGATTGTTATGATTTTTCAATGATTCTGCTACGCTATAAGAAGGAAGTGAATAAAAAAGTTAGATATCAATCTAAACATGCACTATTTTGTTCGAGTTTCGGACGGTAATTATATATACTTAAAATAACTAAAATGGTTTCAAATCTATCGCAATAGGGCTACAGCATTAGGATTTCTTCCATAACAGGAAATTTCTGTTTTTCAAACTGAGGCACCCTGACAAATAATGCCTGTATGAAGAATTATTGCATCAGAAGGTACATAATTATCATTGTATTGCAGTGACGGAATCGGAAAATATATAATTTCAATTTTAATAATCATTTATTTTTATATTTAGTAGGTACATTACACTCTTTAATAGGTTTAGAAAGTTCACATTATGTAATTGTATAGTTACACTCATATTTAATGATTAGATGTAGATATTACTATTCACGGTATGATTCGGGATCCTTTATATATTCATGGATATATATTATATGATAGACACCTATATATTTTTTCTCGAAAACAGTATACCTACCTTCTATCAGAATTGAACTAATTCACCATACATGAGGAAATTCAGTTCAATAATAGCGAAATATTCATTCGAATCTATTTGTGAGACACAAGGTGTTATTTTATGGCTTCTAGATCTTCGCCATTCATGGGTGCCTATGTTGTCCCGAAAGTTTCTGAATGCCTGATCTGATGATCATTTCAAAAACAACATAATTTTCTGATTGACAATTTGTTTTGCGTTACGGTCTAGTGAGTATTCAGAATCTTTCGTGAGACTTGTGGTGTCATATGGCCTCAGAATCTCTAAAACTGGGGACTTTCGCTATAACTGAATGTTGCCCCAATGCCTGACGATATTGTGAAAAGAAAATGAGTACAAAAAACAAATTAATTGATTCCATCAATACTCGATGTGGCGAGATTTGATTACAATTAATATCTCGTCTGTCGATACATAAACTTCCTATATATCATTTGGAGTACATTAGCATCACAGTTAAACTGTATATGATCTATCTTTATATTTCAACTCTGTCTCTAGCAAGCCCTTCAAATTATGGTATATACTTGCCACGGAAATACCATGTATCTATATTTATCAAGGCTAATAGAGCGTTAGTTCATGAGCACAATTCAACTCACCTTTCATTTTTCTTTCACTTCAATAGAGACAATTGAAAAAACCAATTCGGAGTTTATTCAACCAAACTAAATACCACTGCAATTCTTTCAATGAACTGTTTCAAATAGAGAGTTGCTGGTTTGACCAAGCGTTCAAGTCCCCTTCTTCACCAGTCATTAGGAGCAGAAGTAACGTTATCTTTATCGCCGAATACATTCCTAGTACGGGTGTTGTGGACTGAAACTCCACAGAACATGGACTCAATGCTTGATATATCTACAGGTTGTCCAGGAAGATCGTGTCATAAATGATAGGGCTGATATAGAGTGAGCCAAAATAATAATAGTGATCCATATATAAGAAAAATATTTATCGCACTTCGAAACGGAGTAATTGACCTTGAGAGTTTTGGCTAGTCCAAACATATGCATACCTACTCATCACTACTTAACTCACGCATCAACCCATCAACTTCAAAGTGACTTACTTGTCATTATCATTATTCTGGTATTGAAAATGAGTTGCATATTGATCAATTCGAAACGGAATCTTTATGATGTTTCGAAAAACATCTTGCGCACCTAAGCAGGATGAGAAGAGGTGGTAGGTGTTGAATGTTTTTCGACTTCTGGAGATTGAAGATTCTTGGAAATACTACCTTCGTCAAAAAATTCTGAAGTTTTGTCATTCGAAAGAAAACTGAGTTTCGGTAAAGGGTTGTTAGTTATATTCTGGGGTTGACGACAAAAGAATGTACTGTCTAGGCTTGTCGAATACGTCTGATACATATTGCTAGTGGTGAAATGATAGCGTATATATCTGAAGAACATTATTTTGGTACCACATCTGTACTAATGCACAAACGTATAATCTCGTTTAGATTCGCATTGTGTTTTCGAACAAGCAAACATTATGCGTTATATGACTCAACATAATTACGGAACAGGTCTCTATTTATCAGTCTCGTATCATCTCTGAGTCGTTTAAAACAGCTAATGGACTCTTCAGGATTCTTGTTACTCAACTCATATAGTTTATGGTTGTAAAATATCGGAGTGCGTATATAATGGAAATTATCAATTTCGTAATTGAATTTTGAACAAATGAATGCGTGGATCTTCAAAGAATTGTTCATTGATTTATATGTATTCAATCATTTCCTTGAGATATGCGTATCCTATTTCTGGTATGTTTAACTTCATGATTTTCGAGTATGTGATATAGATCGTGTGCCTGATACCTAGATCTCAGCTTACTGGGTTATCAAATCTCACGAGTATCAATGACTGACTTATTTCCATATACTGTTCAAATCCCAACAAAGGTTAACAGTTTATTGTAAATTCGTATTGATTCCTTGTAAACCTCAGTATATCAATGATATAGGCGCCAGCATATTTCCCTTATGTAACAAATTTAATACTTCTACAGAAATCTCAATCTACATTGTGGAAACCCATTATGAATACTATCTGGTAACGATGAACGATGCACGCAAAAAATCCGGCAGAGGAATTCACCACAATTTCGCAGCTAGAAAGTCGTGGTACTTTTGAATGCGATCGAAGTTGTACAATGCACCTCGACAATGAGTAAGTTTAACCTCTCAAATAGTGAACATACTTCAGAATATAAATGAAAATTCAAGACATCGGAAACTGAACATAACAGAAATACATGCACGGTATATTTAACTGAACTGAGTCGTTACCACCGATACAACAAGGCCAGCAGACTCTGACGTAAACAGCTCGTGACGTCACCAAGAGAGGCCAGTGTTTTATTTTATCGCTTGTCGACTGATGCGTCAGTTCGTGTTAATTCATCGGTGATTCACGTATGGTTTTGAAACGGTCCCGAATTCTTTTGTTGTTTATTCATCAAAATGATTGGCGGAAAAATGACTGTTTTGTGAAATATTTTGTGTTGTGATCGGCAAAATAACAATGCCTTTGAAGTGTTGTGTTCCCTTTTGTCGAGGGAATTATGTGGGTGGTTCAAAAGTTCATGCTTTTAGTTTCCCGTTGGACGAGGAGCTATCGAAATATGCAATTCACCGCGAGGATTTAACTCCATCTGAGTTCAGTAGTGAACAGAGCTTAGTTTATAATGATGAATTAATAATAGAAGACAATTACTCTCTCATAAAGAGTATAAGTAGAGGAAAAATAGAAAAGCTTTTGTTCAGTTAGTTTTGTATTCGTATATTATAGTCAACAAAATCATCTCTGAATTCGAGGGAATTATCTTGAATCTTCATAATAAACGTGCATTTTTAATTCTCATTCTCAAATTTCTTTCTGAAAACGGTCATTTGCCTCATGCCAATGAATGCAGAATTCATTCCAATGATCAAATTGCAACTATCATATCGACATGAACAACAAACACTCTACTTAAAAAGGTAAAACTGCATTCATCATTCATCATGAAGATATTTGACTGAAAAGTTCCAAATTTCAGAGGTTCAATTTTTACGATGATATCTCAAATAGAATAATATAATCTCCAATGTATTTCAGAGATGAATAACTTTTCCAAATATGTCTTGGCCCTTTTTACATTGGATATGGAAGAATTCTCATTCGTGAAACTTAAGGGTATGATTGTATAAATGGATAAATGGAATTTAGGAATTTATTTTCCCGAAATTGAGGTTATGCAATATGTGATACCTAGGTAAATTTGTTTGAACGAAATATCATCAAACACAATAAACTATCTAACTGTATAGCTACGTATATTAACGATTGGTAGTTATACTATAGGTGAGTAGGGATGTGTAGGTAATTGATATACTATGCTCATAGTATCATGGCAAGATAGTCTTATCATTCAGACTTGCTTATTGAAGTTTCTCTATTCGAGATATTATCGGTAATTCGATATAACATTAAGAATATGATATATTCAAACAGTTTTTCGATTATGGTTTCAATGAACTTGGAATTTCCTAATCAATGCCAGTGGTGCGCCAATATAGATATAACATAAATTTCACTTCCACCTATGGTAATCAATTCACCACTCAAAAGCAACAGCCTAATTGCAGAAAATCACAAAATAAGATCAGTTAACTAGCTGGTCATAGAATTAAATACTCCCTTTGTGGTGTTTCTCTGAATGAATGTTCGTGGTAAATTTCATCATTATGCTGTGTTGATTGTTGTCAACTTTTCTTATTCAGTTTCACTACGATGCCTTATAAAAGATGATGAGGATGTATCAACATATTCATAGGGGGAATTTTACTTCGGCCAAAGTTTGTTCCTATTCTCAACGTTTCCTGTGGTAAGATATACAGAGATTCTAGTCGTTTGTACCATTCTCATTTCTACGAGGGTAGCTCCGTATTAGAAAAGTATATATATAATAATAAATTCTCAGAGTATATAGTGTTAGTTGCTGGAGATATCTGAAACCTTCCTCCTGAAATAGTATCATCCGCCATCAAAGTTTCATCATGAATCAAAAAAATCCTTCATTCAGGAATTGGGCAAATAATATTTCTTGTATATCAACCCACCTTCAGTCCTTCTTCAGTCGCCATGAAGGTATATGGCTGGTTATTCAGGACTCACCCTGTATATTGTTCCCAGAACACGTGGTGGTCAGTCATATTTATTCAAATATATTCGTGCTTCATTATTGAAACAATGCTTCGTTGGCAGAAAAGGATCTCCTGATATATGACAGTTTTGTTGAGAGTAGAAGTTCCTAGTATGAAAAATCTCATATCGCGGTTAATGAGGAATTCGATGTCTATATATTATTTCTATCTATCATAACCGTATTCTCATCGATTCCAAGAATGCCTTTTATAATAAATGATTATACTGTTGATTTCACATTATTTATGGTTGATTATAAAGATAAAATGTTTCGTCATCCAGTAAGTAATTTATTATGTTCTGTAGATATATGCTCTTGGAATCCATTTCAAATTATCACAGTTGTTGCTGTATTTTGAACTTCATGAGTATTAGAGAAGTGATTCAAGTTGTGCGTGAAAGTTGTACATTCTAGATCTAGACATAGGTTGGTCAATCGAAGAAACAATGGATTGACTACAACAATCTTATACTCCCAGTTGTTTTAGTATGATCCCAATCTGAAAAGAGATCAGAGTAGGTATAGCTACAATTGAACAAAAAAAATCCTATCACAAACGGTGAAGAGCCAGTAATCCAAACTCCAGTCTAGAATAGTTATTGGATTTCAGAGTCTGAAGATAATATTTCGTATGAGTATTCAATAACTAATTGATTGAATTCACCTTCAATAAAGTCTATATATCAGTTCAGATTTGGAAACAGCGAATGATTCATTGAATACTCAAAATATGCAGAATTAAATGCGGTTCGAGACGCTCCAAATGACTTTGGATAAACAATATATTATACCTCGTCTTCGTATCCTCCCTAGGTACGCACGATGTTCCTCGAACATCATCATAGGGATTTTTTTTCGTTATTAGTGATCAAAAAGTCGAGAACCGACGTTTTTTGCGCCCTGAAAAAATAAAATCCGGAAGTGAACCAACGAAGGGTTCACATTTCTTCATCCATGTAGGTACCTCTACTGTTATCAATTTGTTTCATCAGGCAGCAAAGTAGTTGATTGACTGCTGCGGCTGATAGTTCATAGTCGAGCGTAGCGACGATAGAAATTCAGTCGAGGCAGTAAATTTACTTAGAACCACAGTTTTGTGTAATTTTTTCATTGAAAATTCCATGAATTTATTTCATACCAATCAGAACTACTATTTTATCACGTTGTTTATGATAATTTTGTTCGGTCCTATTAACTTGATGGAATCAATAAGTGATAACCATTCTGTCAAAAATGAAGCGCCTCATATCTATTGGCAAAAGTCACTCAGTTTCATCTGACACTATGTTATGAAGATATGTTATATCAGATGTTATGATTGGAAACGAATTATTGTTGCTGATGTTCCTGAAGTTTTAGTAATAAACCTTAGTTACTAACAAGTGAAATGAAATTCTATTGTTAGAATCTAGTTCTTCATACTTAACCGAGTTCATCGGAAATATGTTTTTCAAGTTTCATTTGAAACTATGTAGATGATAATAATAATTGAAGATTCCTATTTCGAAGGAGAACTTGAAAAGGCGGAAGGAGCCTTGAGAGCCAGACAA